AAAAATTAGGACTGATTTCTGCAGTGATAGGAGAACTGAAAAAAAATTTTCTGCCGCAACAGGCCAGAGCATTCGACGTCTCTTAGCCGAGCAAAAGAACTGATAAATAATAGGCTTTTTACCATAATCTTCTTTTCAATAAACTCAGAGGACTGCGGCAACAAATGCGATCCAATGTGAAATGAAACGACACTCCTTTTTGACTCATAAAAACAAGAATAGGCAGATGCCCAAAGCAAACAGACATTTCTTTTTCAACAGCCGTTATTAGCGTACATGAGAGCAGCACACTCCAGAAAAATGAGATAGCAAAAGAAATTTCGCGTCGACTGTGAAAAATGCAAATGTCTGTTACTGTAGGCATTGTGCGCATCGTAAAAAATCCAAAATATTACAGAATTTAAGCCAGGATGAATGCAAAAAAAAAAAAAAAAATTCCACTCTAAATCTACAGAGGAAAAACTGGGGTGGAAAATGTTCCCAAACATAAAAGTTGAAGGTGCGCCTGTGAGCTTGAAGGCAAATATGCCTACTTAGGAGAAACAAAACAATATCAATTTAGACATGGAGCAAAACAAGAAGAAATGACTTATGATGACGAGAGGAGAAAGGACTTGTGGAATAAAAGAGAATGAAAGGAGTGGGAGGGACGTTCGCGGAACGAAACAGTGTATCGATACAAAAGCGAGGAGAGGCAGAAAAGTGAAAAAGATGCATGTTTGCACTGAGTCCTTGGTGCGCAACACTAATTAATCAAAATCTTCGACATACCCTTCAGCTGAAAGTGTAAATCATCTCCTCACCTGTTTCGATGCGCATCTGATCCCTTTTAAGCAACTCCGTGAAAATCTGCAAAACGAATACTACCATTTTATGCTTGTGGTTATCCAGTCCACCTCTCTGAGATATCTACACTTACACAAAACCATACTAATCGCCAAAAAATAACTTTGCTTAAGTTACGGTACAAATTTCTTCACTGAATTTCAAGCTACTACCTCAGACGAACGAGGAGTAAACTGTAAAAAAAGGGGGTTCGTGCTGCATCATTGTCTACTCTGCAAAAAAGAAGGGCTGCATAGCGATACCATAACTCAGGCTGCAACGCACCAGGCTATCCGGTGCGATTATGCGTTTTTGCACTAAACTCGCAGATCGCTATTAGCAGGAATGATTCTTACGCTGCAGTCCAACACTTGGGCTCATATTGGCCGTGCTTTGAACCTTTCCGGTATGTCGGAGGAAGGGTGTCAGTTGGGATGAAGGTGCTGCATTAGAGAGCCGCACGGACATCCAGGTGCATGATTACCGGTTTTTTGCATGAAGTTCGGCCGTTTTTTCAGTAAATGCTCGCTTTTTGAAAAAATGACAAATGCAAACTTTTTGAAAAAATGCAAATTTCCAGTTCACTAAAAAGTGGAAGTATTGCTCGAGCGGTTGCTTGTCAAAAAATCCATGTATACAAATTAATTAATGTTCATTTACATATACGATTGGA